TATGTCAATAGCCAAGACACGGAAGCAACCTAAGTGTCCATCGATGGATGAAAGGATAAAGAAAATGTGGTGTATATACAGTGGACTATTATTCAGCCATAAAAAAGAAGGAAATCTCGTCATTTGCAACAACATGGATGGACCTTGAGGGCATTATGCTAAGTGAAATAAGTCAGACAGAGAGAGACAAATACCATATGATCTCACTTATATGTGGAATCCAAAAAACACAAATTCCTAGATACAGAGAACAGATGGGAGGTCAGAGGCAGAGGGTGGAGGGTGAGCAAAATGGGTGAAGGTGGTTAAAAGGTACAAACTTCTGGGGACAGCCCAGTGGTGTAGTGGTTAAGTTTGCGTGCTCTGCTTTGGTGGCCCAAGGTTCGGGGTTCAGATCCTAGGTGCTGACCTGCACACTGTTCATCAAACCATGCTGTGGCAGCGTCCCACATGCAGAATAGAGGAAGATGGGCACAGATGTTAGCTCAGGGACAATCTTCCTCAAGCAAGAAGAGGAAGACTGGAAACACATGTTAGCTGAGTGCCAATTTTCCTCACCAAAAAACAGGTACAAACTTCCAGTTATAAAATAAACAAGTACTTGGGATGTAATGTACAGTATAGTGACTATAGTTAATAATACTGTATTGCACATTTGAAAGTTGCTAAGAGAATAGATCTTAAAATTTCTCATCACAAGAAAAAAATTGTTATAACTATGGTGAATGATGTTAACTAGACTTACTGTGGTGATCATTTCACAATATATACAAATATTGAACCAGTACGTTGTACACCCAATAAAAAAAAAAAGTGGGCTCTGTTGCTTGAGCTGGGAGGCAGACCTTGCTGTATGGGGAGTGTGCAGTGGGCAGTCAGAAAATCAGGCTGCCCCAGCCCTTACTGCTGCCAAACTGCTGTGCCCTATGCCTCCAAAAGCCTGACCCCCAAGAAGACAGAGTCCTGGCACCACCCCCCACCATCCGCCATCCCTGTCTCTGCCTCTCCAGCTGTGTCTAGAACCTGGGCCACAGAGCTTGCTGGCCGTCAGGGAGAATAACCCGCTCACAACACACTGCCTTCAGCAGTCTCCGGACGCTGCTCTGCTTTCTACCCCCTCTCAATGTTCCCTTGCTCTCTAATTCCATTTCTCCTACTTGGACCTTCATACTTGCACAGTTTGGGTAAAAATCTCTTCATTTCATATATTTGTGTGATGAAACACAGGAAGAAGTAAATACAGTTGAATTCGGCTGGCGACTATGGGAGCACATTTATTTTTCAGCTTAACACCTTTTGCTGTAGTTGTAGAGGTGTTCTAAGAAGAATTTTTAAAACAATTACAAATGTTTCCCTACATCCTATTGTTATCGCCCTGCCCCTGTTACTTTGGTGGTGACCGTGGGGAGGGGATGGAAGAGAAGGCCCCACAGCTGTCAACGAGAACTGAGCGCCAGGAGGAAGCGCAGGGACCAAGGAGAAAAGCACAGTTAGTGCCAGTTAGCGATCCAGGGCTGTTGCTCCGGGCTGTGCAAGTGTTCCTTGGCGGGGGCGGGGCGGGGAGGGGGGGACGACTTGGGCCCCAGAGGGATGCTTAAAGCATTTCTTCTCTCTCTTCTTTTTTCTTCCTCAGTCTCACAGCACATGTCCCACTAGAGAGTGCCAACCCAGTCACCCAGAGAAAATGGTTTGAGAAATCTAGGAAGAAATCCTCTCCTTTGGGAAAGGAGCACATGCACACTCCCTGGTCCGGGTTGGGGGGGGGGGTGTCTCCATACACTTGACCATTTCTTCTCTTCCACACGTCTCCATCGCTCTCACTTCCGATTTGTATATGCTTTTCCTTGGTTAGCTAAAAAAGTCACTACCACCCACCAAACACTCCTGGACAGAAAGGACACTAGCAGTCACCATTGCTTTTTGCTAAGGAGAAGCCTGGCAGGTATGGTGTGAGGGTTAAAGGAGATCATCCACAGAATGCATCCAGCCCAAGCCAAGCGTTCTCCCCAACCCCCCTCCAAGATGCCAGCTAACCTGGGCTCCCTCCCATCTGGTCCTCTCAAGCTGGGCCTTGGTGACCTGCTCAAAGATAGCCAGGAACCTTAGGGCTTGAGGGAGGAAAAGCTTCTCCACAGCCACACAGACGTCCTCACTTCTCCTTGGACACCCAGGGCCAATTCCACAAGCACCATATCTTCAACACACCCCAACTCCCCCATCTGCACAAGATCTGCCATTTTGTCTGCCGAGTACCATAGGAAAACTGACTGCACCCCAGCTGCCGTTTGACCTAACAAAAGCTCCATGACAATTAAAGTGATCTGAACACTCCAGCTAGCTTCCTGAACTGATCCCTCTTTAAGCACCCATTGTTTTCTCTGCCCTCACTTTTCCTTTCCACAGTACTTCTTGTCTCTACTTCCTTCCCTTAATGGAAATTTTATTGGCATTTGTTTTCACTTCTGATCATTTACTTAAGATATTTGGTTTATTCTTCATATGCTTTTAACCAGCTAGTTAAAAATTTTCAGTAGGATTATGCTAATTTCTATAACTGATCTCCATGTTTTCTTTTCTGATATTCATTTAGCTTCTCTGATTTTCAGTTAAAATACCCTTGCTGGCTACTGTTGAAAGGATATTTTTGTAGTATTTCTTGCGCATTAAGTTAAATTTCAGTTTCTGGTTTAAGAAAACTGAATAAATAATCTCTACCTGAATAATAATTCTCTTTATGCCTGAGGACATCTGGAGTGAATAAAAACACCAAATAAAAAAAGGAAAACCTGCAAGAGTAGATAATAGTATATGCTCATAAAGGTATTCTGAGAGCAAACCAGGTAACATCTTAAAAACATTGTTTCAAAATGCCATGAAGAAAAAGGGTAATCTACTGACATCATTGCATTATTAGACATTCTCCCCTCTTCAAGTAGAACAGCAATGAGACGAGGTAAGAAAAATGTGAGACCCGGCTATAAATAAATGGCAAGGATCTGTGTTGGAGACTTCAGCCTTTTCTCAGCCATCTGGCTGCCTTCCTCAGTAAGCAGTAGTTGTGTGGTATGCATGTGTGTGTATGTGTATGTGCGTGTGTGTGGCATTATACACCATCACTCCTAAAGCACCACCCCATCCTCCTGAGACGGCCACCAGGCACTTGCTTCCCCAGGGACCAGGGGGATGACAGCGCCCGAGTCCCACCTGATGTTCCACCATGTCGAAGAATGTACTGAGATTTGGGGACGTTGGGGACTGTCATTTTGGCTTTAAAAACTGTAAAACGAATACAGGAAAAGCTTTTTCCTGGTTTCTCTACCATCAATTTGCATGAGAAACATTAAAGGAAATTGCCTAGGCAATCATGGGACTACTGGGAATGACCCTTTTGCTGTGCTGTTTCTCAGCTGGCCAGACATCTTCCACAGGCTTCCTTTGGGCAGCTTTATTTTAAGGAGGCTGAGGATTGGAGCCATGTGTGGGTGGAGGAGCAAACAGGAAGCCCATTGTCCTAAATAGTCATTTCAGCCTAATAACCCCATGGTGAGGCTACTCATTAATTAGCAAAGCATCACAATAAACCTTGCCTTTACATTAACACCTGCTATTTATTATATGCTATATCCATCTCTTATCATGACTGATAATTGAGCCAACCCCACACCTCAAAAATAATTCATAGTTTACATGTATAGTGTCTTGCTTCTCAGGACTGAAAAAGGCTTTCCATTTATCACCTCGGGTGTTCCCACAGTAGCCTCCTGCAGGGAACAGGGCCAGATCAGATGGCAGCGTGCCTCTCTTCCCCCGCAGCATGCAAAAATCACGAAAAGGATTTCCCCAAAGAATCAAGAAGCCAGCCACAGAGCCCAGGTTCCCTCGCTGCCGCTTTGAGGCATCTGCCACTGAATTTTCCTGTCCCACTGTGAGAAGGACGCATCACAGTGAGGACTCAGGAGCAGATGATAGGGATGACACGTTTTAACGGGGAACACCAGTGCTGCCCAGGAGGCCTTTTGCTCTCACCCAAACGGCCGGCCCTGTGCCAGCCTTTTACAGTCCTGGGAGACAACAGAAAGAGAAGAGAACCGACAGCGGTGGAGAGCTGGGAAGACGGTGGGAGATCTGGTGTCCACGATCCACTTTCTCACTTGATCAAACTTTAACATTTTTGGATTTCCTAACACCCTAGCCCAAGCCACACAAAAATAAGTAAATCCTCCCATATTAAGAAGTCTTCTCCAGCCACACCTCTGCCCCCCTACCTCACCCTCCAGTTATTATTTGTAGGGCAACTAAAAAATTAAACCAAAGCTCCCCCAACGCCGTTGGGTGCGCACGCCGCGAGTGCAGCCCATTTCAGCACCAGCCTCGGGGACAGACGCCATAAGGGGCGGGGTGCGGGGGGACAAGCCCTCGCCTTGTCGTGGACTATCGCCACCGGACTGCTCTCGAGGCAGGCGTCCCGGGGGGTTGGGGAATCAAGAGGGCTTCTTCAGGCACTCGCCAAAAACATGTCCCCAAATAAAATGACCACCTGGCCACTCCATCCCTTCCATTACGGTCCTCTTCAACGGGGGACGTCGCTGCCGAGAGAACAGCGAACGCTCCGTGACCTACATATGGGAAAGGGGTCCCCAGGAGCCTCTCCCGCCTCAAGCTGCAGAGATCGGGCTACCCCGACCCCCGAGACCCCCCAAGCGTTCCGAGTCTGTCCAAACCTGCGCTGGGTTCCCCAGGGCTCGGCGGAAGGTCCTGGGTTCGAGGAGCCCCGCACCTGCCAGCGCCGGGCGCCGACGCCCACCTGTGCGGGCGCCCGGGGTGATCACAGTCCCCGCTTCGCGCGCCTGCACTGACAGCTGCAGGACGACACGGGCACCAGAATCGTCTCTCCAGTTCCAGAGACTTTCCCGCCCGAGTCCCGCCTTTGTTTCCGGCTCGCCCCAAGCTCGCTGGAGCAAGGGCCGTGCCAATTCCTTCCCCGGCGGGCGCCCACTTACCGGCGCGGGGACGCGGGCCGAGGGAGCCGCTCAGGCGCGGGCTTTGTCTCCGGCGCGGCGCACGCGGGGGGCGGCCAGACCGAGCGGCATCGCTCCTCATCCGGGCGCGGGGCTGGCGGGCGGGGGGGCTCCGGCTCAGCGCCCCAGCTCCCGCGCGCCTCGCCGCTGATGGGTTCGCGGTGCAAACGCGCGCCTCGCGCCCCGCGCCGCCCCGGGGTCTCCGGGCCGCGTCACCAGCCCCGCCCCGCCCCGCGCCTCCCCGCCCGGGCAGAGGACAGACGACGCGAGGCCGAGGGGGCGCAGGTGGCCGAGCCGGTGCCCAGTTTGAGAGCGGAGTCAGCGGACGCCAAGTACTCTGCCCGCTCAGCCCCCCGTGCCGGGCTGCAGGAGGACGTCCATGCCCTGAGGGCGCCGAGCGCGCGCCCCCCGGCCCCGCTTCCTCCCGCCCACGTTGGTCGCGCCCACTCCGCACCAGGGTCTAGTCTGGCGCCCGGGAGGGGCCGGGAAATCCCGCCCGCCGCCGCCGACGTCACTGGTGCGTCACCGGGGCTCCCGCGCCAGAGCTCCGCGCCCGCCCTGCGCCCCCTGCCCCCGCCCCCGCGCCCAGCTCCGCGCGCTCCCCGCTCGGCCCCGCGACCCCGCCCGGTGACGCGTCCCCGCCCAGCCCAGCGCCCCTCCAGAAGCGCGCGTCGCCCGGGGGCTGGGGGAGGGGAGGTCGGGGAGTGGAGGGGGTCCCGGACCGCGGTCCCCTCTGGAGTCAGGAGCAGGAGCCTCCGGAGTCCTCCTCCTTGCCTGGGGGTTGGCTCCAGGGACAAGCCAGGCTGGGCGCGGCCGGTTCCCTTCCATCTCCAAGAATAAAAGGATTCCCCCCAAGGAGGGCCGTGAGGGGCGAAATGCTTAATACCTGTGAAAATTCCCGGGGCATTGTCTCCGCTTACCCGGCGGAGGTTAACGCTGACGTTGCTAAGTAACGGGAAATGAAGGGACTGCCGAGCACGCCCAACGCTCGGGACTGAGACCGGGCGGCCAGCTGCCTCGGTCCGGGCAGCGACCAGGAAGGCGGGAACAAATTCCCAGTGTTCGTGGAGAGCAGAAACCGTTCCTCGGGGAAATCCTCGGCGACTCATTGTTTTTGAACTGTGAGCGTTTTGCGATAGAGATATTTCAAACCTCTTAATTATTACAGCCCTCTTCCTTTAGGGAAAAACAGCTTAAGCGCCTTCCATTTTCCAACTCCTGGTAAAAGAATACAAAAGCTTTGGAATAGAGAAGCCACAAAAACATTTCAAGCAGGCTTAGAAAGATTGGTAGGAAAAGGAGGCCTATATTAATTCCCTTATAAAAACAACATAAAATCATGGCTGACAATTAGGAAATACATTCGCCGTCCTCACCCACCATCAGCAGCCATACCTTGCCGTAAATGACATAAGGATGACTTGTTTCTTAGATGTCTGATCCCCATTGACTTGACATTTGCCTCAGACATATGCGCGCCGTCCCAACTCCGAGTGTTTGATAGGAAGCAAATACAGAGTTCAGAAGGGCCCACCTGGGGCCAGCTAACATCTCACGTAGATTTTTTCACAGCTTAGAAGTGCCCATTGAAGGCACAGAATTAAACTATGGTAAAATGACTAAGGCAGCAAATATCCACAGCACTGACCTTTTTTGAAAAAAGAGAAGATGTGTGGGTACTGCATTTAAAATTCGATAAATCCAAAATTGGGCTCATTATTTCCACCTCAAAATCGATTTCTCCTGTATTTCCTGACTCGATGACCCCCCACCCCCACCCCGCCCCCGCCAATTGGATGGCTAGGGCAGAATCCTTAGCTTTCTGTTATCCCAACTGCCATCTCAATCAATTCCAATTAATCTATTGTAAGGGAAACCAATGTCTACATTTCCAGGTACCTCATTTCCTTATTTTACCTAATTTATTACACTATCCCTTAAGGTAAGATTATGTCTATTTTAAAGCGAAGAAAGAGGGCAAGTCTAAGCCAGTGGTTCCTGAGTGGATCCCAAGACCAGCACCATCAGCAGCCCCTGAAACTAGAAATGCACGTTCTCAGGTCCCACCTCAGCCCTGAATCGGAAACTCTGGGTGTGGGGCCCAGCAATCTGTGTTTTAAGCCTTCCAGAGGATTCTGATTCTGTCCATCACCCAGCTCTGCTACAATCACCTAACACCTGGCTCCAGGACCCTGGACACCTGTTTTCCTTTCTTTGTCCTTGGTAATATTCCTTGTTCTGAAGTCTTCTTTGTCTGATATCAATAAAGCCACTGCAGATTTCGTAGATTGCTGTCTGCATGATGTACCTTCTTCCATCCTTTTACTTTTAACCTGTCTTTATTCTTAAAGTGGGATTCTCTGTTCTTATAGGCAGCATAGAGTTAGATGTGGCTTTTTCATTCAGCCTGACAACTCTGCCTTTTGATGGGAGTGTTTAGGTCTTTTACTTCTTGTGTAATGATCATGTGGTTGTGTTTAAATCTACAATCTTGCTATTTGTTTTCTATTTGTCGTATTGTCTTTCTTTCCCATTTTCCTGCCTCCTTTTGAATTAGCTGAGTATACTTTAGTTTTCCATTATCTCAAGTATTGGCTTATATCCTTCTCTCTCTCTTTCTCCTTGTTCTAGGGTTTATAATATGCATCTTTAACTTACCACAGTCTGCTTTCAAATAACATTATACCACTTCTTATTTACTATAAGATCTTTACACCAATATGCTTCCATTTCCCCTCCTCCATCCTTTGTATTATTTTGGTCATATTTTCCTTTTACATATATAATAAACCCCGCAATACATTATTATTTTTGCTTTAAGCTGTCAATTTTCTTTTGAAGAAATTTTGAAATGATTTTTTTTTTAAATCTTTTATATTTACCATTTCTGATGCTCTTCATTCATTGTGAAGATCAAAATTTCTATTTGGTATCATTTCCTTCTGCCTGAAGAACATCTTTTAATGTTTCTTGTAATGTAGATCTGATGATGATGAATGGTCTCAGCTTTTGTTTGCTGAATACGTCTTATTTTGCCTTCATTTTTGAGGGATCTTTTTCTAGGTTGACAGATTGAAGCAGTTTAAAGATGTCAATCCATTGTGCTTGCATAGTTTCTCGTAAGAGATCTGCGCTATTATTACCCTTGTTGCTTGGCATGTAATGTATTCTTTTTCTATGGCTGTTTATAAGATTTTCTCTTTACCATTGCTTTTCCCAGTATAATTATGAGGTGACTTGGTGTAGTTTTTTTGTGTGTGTTTATTATGCTTGGTATTCATTGGACTTCTTGGATCTGTAGATTTATAATTTTTATCAAATTTGGAAAATTTCTACCCATTATTTATTTAAATATTTTTCCTGGCCCCTTCTTGCTCCTCTCCTTCTCGGACTCCAATCACATATGTGATAGACCAGTTGATATTGTGCCACAAGTCACTGAAGCTCTGTTCATTTAAAAACTTTTTTTTTTTAAGGAAGATTAGCCCTGAGCTAACATCTGCCACCAATCCTCCTCTTTTTGCTGAGAAAGCTGGCCCTGAGCTAACATCCATGCCCATCTTCCCCTACTTTATATGTGGTATGCCTGCCACAGCATGGCTTGCCAAGCGGTGCCATGTCTGCACGTGGGATCTCAACTGGTGAACCCTGGGCTGCCGAACAGAACATGTGAACTTAACCACTGTGCCACCAGGCGGCCCTAAAAACATTCCTTATTCTCTATTTTAGTTTGGATAGTTTCTGCTGCCATGTCATCACAGTCCCTGGTCCTTTCTTCTGAAGTGTCAAGTGAAATTTTCAATTCATAAGCCAGATAGAGAAAGACAAACACTGTATGATCTCACTTATATGTGGAATCTGAAAAAAACAAAAACATCTGACTCATAGAAAAAGAGATCAGATTTGTGGTTAACAGAAGCAGGGGCTGGGGCAGGGGGTGGATTGGAGGAAGATGGTCAAAAGGTACGAACTTCCAGTTATGAGATAAATAAGTACTAGGGACGTAGTGTAGAACATGATGCCACAGCTAACACTGCTGTATGATACACAGGAGAGCTGTTAAGACAGTAGATCCTAAGAGTTCTCATCACAAGGAAACTGTTTTGTTTTTTTTTCTTTTTTTTTTTTGTTGTATCTGTATGAGATGATGAGTGCTAACTGAATTTATTGTGGTAATCATTTCACAATATATGTAAGTCAAACCGTTATGCTGTACACCTTAAACTTATACAGTGATGTATGTCAATTATATCTCAATAAAACTGGAAATTAAAAAAACATAAAATCTAAAAAAAATTTCATTTCAGAAATTGTATGTTTATCTGCAGAAGTTCCATTCAGTTTTTTTAATCTTCCATTTTGCTCATTAGAATTGTTTTTCTTTATATCCTTGAGCATATTGGGCATATTTATTTATTTATTTATTTTTAAAAGATTGGCATCAGAGCTAACAACTATTGCCAATCTTCTTCTTTTTTTCCTTTTTCTCCCCAATCCCCTAAGTATATAGTTGTATATTTTAGTTGTGGGTCCTTCTAAGTGTGGCATGTGGGACGCCGCCTCAACATGGCTTGATGAGTGGTGCCATGTCTGCGCCCAGGATCCCAACAGTTGAAACCCTGGGCCACCGAAGCAGAGCATATGAACTTAACCACTTGGCCTCGGGCCCGGCCCCAGGGCATATTTATAACAGCCACTGTAACATACTTTTATGTGAATTCCATAATTTCCTTCCTTTCTTGATCTATCAAATGAGTTTTCTCCTATTTGGGGTAACATTTTCCTATTTCTTGGCATATCTAGTAATTTTTTAAAAATTATTTTTAAAATTTATTTTTGTTATTTTTTATTTTTTCAAATTTAATTTTATTTTTTTAATTGCAGTAACATTGGATTATAACATTATATAGCTTTCAGATGTACATCATAATTTATTTCGAATTCTGTCTAGATTATATCATGTTCACCACCCAAAAACTAATTATAGTCCATCCCCTCACATGTGAGCCTAATCACCCCTTTTGCCCTCCCCTCTCTTCTCCTATGGTAACCACCAATCCATTCTCCATTGCTCCGTGTTTGTTTGCCGTTGTTTTTATCTTCTACTTATGAGTGAGATCACATGGTATTTGACTTTCTCTCTCTGACTTATTTCACTCAG